GCTAAAGGCCGCCTCGCTACCGAAGCAGCCACCAGTGTCACGCGACAAAGTGCGGGTTCACTCTACAAACAACACCTTCACCCTTAGTGTGTGAGAATCCGTCCGAGCACAAGTCTACCTTAACATCAGGCCACTGCAGATCGGAGTCCGCACTATTGAATTCCATATTTACGCCCCACCACCCGACGATGCATTTCGTGGCAACATGTTCAACGCCTACGACAGCTTTACTGATGCAGACATCCTAAACGACTTGAAAGAGAGCAACAGAACTATGCCAGTCATGCGTGGCCGTCGCATGGGACGGACCAATCATGTACTCGTCACCATGCTTGGAGATTGTTTGGCACGATGGATCTGCTATCACGGCGTCCACATTCGACTCTACCCCATTTACCCAAGAGTAGAAGCTTGCTTTAACTGCTGCAAGGTGGGTCATCGAACTGACGTTTGCCCTCATCCAAAATGCAACCGCTGTGCGCGTTGTCGCGAGAAACACCCGCCGATTATACAGGGCACCCAACCGACATGTCGTGCCCGCTGCATCGTTTGTAAGGCGGTCACGCAACGAGCAGCTCGAAGTGAAAATACCGTTTAGGATGACTGTCAGTTGCTAGTAAGCGTTTGTCTGTATCCTCTCTTAGTGTGTGCATTTTTAGCGCTCGTTTCATGATGAAAGTACCGTTTCGTCAGGAAGCCTACCCCGTCCGGCTTCGCACCGGCGCAAGCACCCGACGAAGAGCCACAATCTTAGCAGCCACCAATCCATCGCACCAATCACTCACCGTCCCAAGAGCAGACGCACCCGCCTCTCGGCCAGCCACAGCAGCAGCAACAAACCGACCATTCCAGATCCACAACTGTGGCTGGTCACGGTCGATGTCCCGGTCAAAGCTCCGGTCCAAGTCCAGGTCCCAGTCCAAGTCCCAGTCGCGGTCCCATTCTGCTAGCCACCTCAACTCGTCCTGGTCACCTCTCTCGTTATCCCCTGGATCGTCTCAGGGATTGTCACAGTCATCATCCATGTCTGGTCCCAAGAAGCTTGCCTGGGCCCAAGGACCCCCAGCGTCGTTCAAAGCGTCACCGACGTCGTCACAGATCCGCAGGTAGGGTAAGTTGGTCAGAGAGAACTCCTCTCTTAAGGCGCAACTTCCCTCGCAGCAGTTTCAGCTCTCTAAACTAATGTCCCAAATAGAAAACCTCACACAATACATTCAGTCATTAGAAGCAAAGCTAGACAAAACCCTTGAGCAACCAGGTGCAACCACGTCGGAACCGATGAAGGCCGTCTCTTCCCCATGCCAGATGCAGTCGCAGCCCGCGGGTAAGCGCAAAGCAAATACCTCCACCGCGTCGCTTTATGCCAAAACCGATATCGCTAGGACGGTCTCCAAAGCAGTATCTGTGGCTCTCGCAACCCTAGACGTGAAATTTGAAGTCCATTTCAACACTCTGCAACAAGTCATTGTGGACACGAACACCTCACTGAACGTCCTGAAGAGTTATATGGAGGCCACCAATAATTCATAGAATGCTCTAAAAATTACACGGAGTCCACCACTGCCGAAATTCATGCACGGCTCGAGCAGCGCGAGCACCCACCCACGTTCGGCCAACCTGCCACGCTTCAAGTAGGCCCCAAGCCTGCAACGGCTTAATCATGGCGTGTCCCACACTGATCATATGACAGTGGAACAGCAGGTACGGTCTGCAGCAGCTCCTGCAGCAGCTCGTACACAAACTGCAAGCTGATCCGCAGGTGACGGAACCAGCCCCGGATGTTATCGCCTTGTGAGAGACGTCTACTCTCTCCACCCTCCCCAGTTACGTGGCCTACCATCAGCTTCATACGCATGCTACCTCTGCACATCCACGCTCGTTTGGAAGCAACGGAGATTCAGCATACGATCGTAGACATTCTACCACGCAAACGCACAGGCAAGTCGCTCTTCGTCCTGAATGTGTACAGTTCAGCCTGTGAGAAAGTGGCAGATTTCTCTCTCCTCTTCTCTGAGACGATCGCTTTCGTCGGAGACGCGCAGCAGCTCTTGCTTGATGACTTTAACACACGACATCCCGATTAGGGCTACACGCACACGAATCCGAAAGGCAAAAAGCTATGGTCGTTAGTTCAAGACCTTCACCTTACCTTACACTCTAAGGCAAAATTACCCGAAAAAGGAGTAACGGAGCCCAATAGGCGCACGCGATGAACGGACAGACCGCTGAGGAGCAACCACAGAGGAAAGCATGCCATGCGAAACTACTTAGTCCCACTAGGGATAAACCGCCCGGGCATTGCAGGCAGTGCGAAAAGCGTTGCCAGGGTGACCAAACCTCCTTCTACACAAAACGCATGTCCTTTCTCCCCTGCTAGCTCAGTCTTTCCCCTTATTTTGCCGGTGATGGTTGCGTAGCGTCGTGCTCGAAATGCTCGACCATGGCCGCCTGGATTCGGCGATATAAGTATTATGACGTGGTGCTTGTGTGTACGCCTGGATGAGCGTGGGCTGCTGCTTTAGCGTTTCGCAGCACCCATGAAGCCTGGAGCACGCCTCGACAGGTCACCACGCCGCGCTGTATATCTCTGGCTTCAAGATAGTCACGAGGAACGCATGACAGCAACAGTTGGGAAGGCCAATATGCCGGCCGAGAAGAACAGGCCTATCAGATATATACTTCAGTCCGACTCAGGGCATAAGACAGCGCTGGATTGTAAGGCAAGTAGGTTATCATTCTTTATTCTACTTTACTTGTCACGTGTGCGATACGGATCGCGCTTGCCGGCAAAGGGCTTGGTCGTATTGAATATCGCACGCATGAAATACATCGCGAAGGTCAGCTTCAGGCGTCTGTAGTTCGCCTGTCCTCTGCGTCCACCTGGAAATTGGCTGTCATTGCCGTCGGCCTCCCGTACGCTCGCTCATCGAGTGTTCACCTGTCTTCGCTGCCGAGATGAGCTCCGTGCTGACGATATTGGGCTGAGACCTCGTCGCTGTGTTGGGAGCCACCGAAAACACGTTGCGGGTTCACGTAAAAAACTTTGTTGTATTATGTCGCACGCTGTAAGTGCACCAGCACGGGCTGGTGGGGCTTTCGCTAGCGTGGGAACTCACTGAAAATTGGTCGCCATTACAGTTGGCTTCCCCATCAGTCGGTAGCAAGCAGCTCGGCGCAGTCCATTGGCTGCGGCGGCGGACTCGCGTTTGCGCGCTGCACTCGCTCGAGTTTGTGGAAAAGGGCCGCATTACCATCGATTTCTTCGGCGCTAGCTCCAAACCAGCTCAGCGCTGTTCGTGGCGGCGGCCAAGCGTACGCTCGCTCTCCTGTTCGAAGTTCGCCGGTGGCAGACACTCCGCGAGCAGTGCCCTGCTTGGTCTTGCATTTGCTTGCTCAAGCTGAACGGCGTCGCTCGCTTAGGACTCGCCGACTTGTTAGCGGCACGGTGGTTCGCGGAGTTGTGACTGCGGCCGCCGCTCCAAAACTGTTGCGCTACGGGGATCTAAATGAGTTTTTGACGATGTGTGACATCACGGTGAAATTATTAGCATGTCATATCTCACATATGTTTTCATTTCACATTACACGTATTTCTCATACGCATTTGTATTCATGCTCTGTCACGTGTTACTCACTATTTTACATACTTATTGTGCAGCCGTGGGCACACACCACGCTGAAGACTGTGCGCTGGCGTCTGCGATGCCCGTCATCCATCTCTTTCGTCAGAGCAGCTTCAGAAGGACTGTGCGAGATGTGAAGTTAAATATATTTGTGTGTCATATTTTAACGCTTGTTTCTATATTAACGTGCACGTCATACTTGTCATATGCACGCATGTTCATCTTTTGTCCTTTGTGTCTAACTATTTTTACTATAATATTGTACGTGTAGCCGTGGGAACACAACAGGCAGAAGGCTGCGTGCGCTGGCGTCTGCAATGCCCGTCATCTATTTCGATGTCTCACTTTCGTCTTTCGTTGTTGCCGTGACTGTGAAAGCAGTTACACAGCAGTAACTACTTTTTCGCGTTCTTTTCCGTAGAACTTGTTTCTCACTGCGCAGAAAAACAGGCGAAGAAAAGCATTAGGCCTGGCGGAAAATAATCAAAAAAACAATGTTTGAACTGGGGACAAAAAGTTCACCCGATTGGAGTATTTGAGTGGATCCACCGTTCGTCCTGCAAGGTGCAACTTGAGGACTAACGGTTGCCCAGTAAGGTGTTAATTTGGGGATTAACAGTTGCTCTATAAAGTGCTAATGTAAGGACTAAACGTTTGGCCGTTGGGGTAAACTTTGGGACTAACGGTTACTCACTAAGGTGTAAATGTGAGGACTAAATATTAGTCCCTTGAGGGGACTGTCTGTTAGACCCGGTGCCGTTAGTCCTTAAAGAGAATAATGATTGTGGCAGCCCTATTACTCCCGAAAAGGATAAACCACACACCCTTTTAACACCATTTTGCATTAGAGTATACTTAACAATCCACAGTAGCCGCCCACACGCATAGGCAACAATGTTTGCCGTGACACATCGCTGGACCTTACACTGTGCAAGAACGTTACGCATGCTACTTGGGACAACATGTACCTTTTAGTGGGCAGTTAGCACAACATCCTCGCGATAACAATTCAAACGAGCTTCATCAAGAAGCCAAAACCCACAGCTCGGATCACTGATTGGTCGAAATTCCGCCAGTTACGTGAAGAACAAGCCTCCGACACCATTACGGACATCAATGAGTGGATCACTTCCTGGCAAGGGCACGTCCAAGTCACAACCCGTGAAGTGAAGACTGTGACCGACTTGGCCACAACCGACTCTCACCTCCTCCACATTTGGCACGCACACGCTGGCCTTATATGCAGGTGGCGCCGGCAGCGTCATAACAAGAAGTTACTGCCGCCCCATCGAAGCGCTAGCACGCGAAGTTAAGAACCACAGCCACGCCCTCGCGAGACAGAAGTGGGATTAGCTGTGTCACAGTCTCAACAGGCAGATGAGCTCCAGAAGAACGTGGCACCTACTACGACGCTCGCTCGATCATTGTGGGTCCAAGTCGTCTGTGCAAAAACAGCTTCACCAGCTGCTACATCGTTACCCTGGCACGGACGCCGAGCTGCTCGAAGAGTTGGCTCGTCGATATGTGAACCTCGCCCAGCCGAACGCACTGCCAGAGCGCTTTGCCCCGTACCGTGGCAAACTGCACCCCCGACTGGACGAAGATATTACGGAGGCGGAAATGTACACCGCAGTGCTCAAACTTGATAACACGTCAGCATCTGGTCCTGATGGCGTAAGCAACAAGTCCCTCCGAAATCTCCACGTGAAATCGATGGCTGCGCTCACGCGGTACGCTAACGAGTGCTGGCGCTCGGGCCACATACCACAGGAGTGGAGACACGCGAGGCTCGTATTTATCCCCAACCCAGGCAAAAAGATGAACATCACCAACCTACGCCCTATATCGCTCACATCTTGCATCAGCAAGCTAATAGAACACGTTGTCTTTGCCCGATTACAGATCTACGCTGAAGAAAATGACCTTCTCTCTCCCACGATGCTCGGCTTTTGTGCCCACTTATCGACGCAAGATGCGCTAGCGCGAATACACCATGACCTCCATCGTATCCCGCTGAAGGCCGGCACTCACGCCAGTGCTTGGTCTAGATCTTCATAAAGCATTCGACTCGGTGTGACACGAAGCCATCGCCTCAAACCATAGAGTTTCTCAATATACACTAGAGGGAACTCTGGCGCTAGTGTCTATGGGAGCTGCAACAGACGGCGCTCCAGCGAGCATGGGAATGATGGGTAGTATGGTATAACTGTCAGTTCAAGCGCACGAATAAACAGAAAGAAAGAGAGGACAAGCGCTTTCTCTCAACTGAACTGTTTATTAGTAACGGCAGGATATATACACAGGCAAGGGGAAGGGGCCCCTTTCTCCTAATTTTTACCAAGTGCCCCCTCCTCCCGAAAAAAATTTCTGGCTACGGGCCTGCTCTCACGCTATATGGCGGTCGCCTATTTTCGGTGAAAGCCTTTTTATTAAGTCATTGTACGACAATACATAAGATACTTAAGCCCCGTAATGTCTTACGTGGCTTAAGTATCTCTATAATTGCTCGCCTCTGAAAACAATTCTCGAGAAGGCATATGAGCGAGACCCGACACCAACTTTTGTGGATTTCGTAATATTGCGGTTACTCACGGCAAAACTGCACGGAGTGTTACGAGACGTTGCGATTACTCGAAGCTTGTTAAGTTCCTTCATCCACGAGCAGAAACGTCGGTACAAGAGCCTCGTTTTGGTGCTCCGCCGCGAACGCATAATCTTGTGCGAGTCGCAGCTTAAATTCTCACTTGGCATTCAATTATCGGTTTGCGAACGTAGAAGTTTTAGCAGCCTAAATTTCTCATTAACTTAGACGAGTAACGCTGTAAGAGCTGCTAAAACTTACGTATGCCGCGAACCTGTGACTCGATAATTGTCCCCAGCAGCAGAAATAGAGGACACACTTTTTTAACAAAAACATAACTTTATTTTCATGAATGTCAAGGTATTCAAGCTCTGCCACTAGAGTACACATGGCTTAACTCTCCGCCCTTTCTTTTCGCATTCTTTTTGGTTCATGCCTTTCAATAAAAAAGTGGACACGAGTGAGGCAATAAAATCGCACCACACTATTGGTCAAGAGAGCACCAAGCTTTGGGCAGCAAATTTGCTGTGTCTCGCCAATCCCCTTCAGCATCTCATGGCCGACTTGGCGTGAAGACGTGCTGAGCTCAAGAACCAAGTGATTTGGTCCTCAAGGTTCAGAATGAGGGTATAAAGGAAATTCGACGGAACTAAAGTCCCCCCCCCCCCCCCAAAAAAAAATACCATAGCTTGCTTGCCTGGGCTGGGAGATTTCCTGGCACATTTTCTCTCGAGGCAAGGCAGGCGTTCTTGCACTCATCGCAATTATTGCTAAGTATTCACCTTTTCATAGACGCCTCCCTGCCGTGTGCTCAGATTTGGGTGCACGTTAAAGAACCCCAGGTGGTCTAAATTTCCGGAGCCCTCCACTACGGCGTCTCTCATAATCATATAGTGGTTTTGGGACGTTAAACCCCACATATCAATCAATAGACGCCTCCCTGGGCGCCGCCATAGCCCTCCTTGGGCTGTGCAAATTGGCGCGCCCCCTCGAAAATGCACTGTACACGCTGCGCCCTTAGCCTTTGTACTCCCGCGCACAGCCCATCATGGCGGTGTTTTTTCCTTCCTGTGAAAAGGTGTATACGCTTTCTCTCGCAACGTAGCCTGCGACATAATATACAAGGCGGGAGTCACTTCGCTCAGCAGTGTACGATGCATGATCCATGGACACTATTGGCACCCAGGCACAAAGCACTCTTCTTTTTTACCGTTGACATCCTCAGGCATTTCAAAGAGACCTAGCGCAAACACTGACTGATGGCATACTTGCAATGTAGCGACTGCTTGCGAAGAATATCCCAACGCCCCTGCAGCAAACACAGGGAAGTGCGCCGCTCTCTACCGGCCCCACTGCCATCAGCGCCCCTTGCGGCATCGGCGCGCCGAGTGACCCTCCCCGACAAGCGAAAAGCGCCCCGCTCATCACACCTCCCCAATCTAGCCACCCTAGCGCAGGTGATCGAGGACGTCACTGGTTTTGTGGAGACAGCGAGCGATCGTAACATGGGGCTGATGTTAGATGAGTATAAATGTTGGGTGGGTCCTCGTAGGCGTGAAAAGGGTAGGATCAAGTGTCCTCTGCATGGCATGGCTCACGAGGAGACGATGGCCAATGACAGGAACAATAGCGAGAAAGGTGGCCTGCCACGTTGCAGTTGAAGCATATGGGCCTGTCATCAAGTGTCAGCACTGGTAGGGTTGTTGTATGTGTAGTGAATGAGAGAAAAGTCACTTTGATTCTTTTGCGGTGCGGCTAGCAAAGGAACCAAACACAAAATGGCTGGTACAATATTTATATTCTTACAATTACATTTTTGAAATAACGCGCTCGTGATAGGGTTACACCTTAAACAAAAATATGCCCCCACCTCCCATAGGGGAATTGTGAGGAAATGAGAGAGAGAGAAAACTTTATTTGCGCATAACGCGGAGCATTCCGAATGGTCGGGCCCCTATTCCAGGGCTCCGCTGGCCTAGCCATCATCTGTATCCGTTGGACCAGCCAGCGCTGATCAACAGTGGCCGAGCTGGACAGCACTGCCTCCTATTGTTCCTCTGCGTTGTTCATGTTGTGGTGTTCTTCATTGTAATTCGTACACTCGCACGTGATGTGAAACAGAGTTGGTGTGGCCCCACACCACGGACATATATCCCTGTATGCTGTGGGGTAGAATACATGTAGCCTGTGTAAGTTCGTGTATGTGTTTGTTTGGATTCTGCGTAATGCTACCGATTCCATTGCTGTGAGTTTCTTATGCGGCGCTGGATACAGTTTTTTATTTTCCCTATAATACTGGGAAAATGTACCAAATTTAGGGTCCAGGGGCGTTGGATCCTCTATTGCAGTGTGCAAGGAAGCTCGGTGATTTGTAAAGCCTCGAGCCGCATCATCCGCAATCTGGTTCCCGGTGACGCCCTCGTGCCCTGGTGTCACGGGTCCCGTTAATTAGGGAGGCGATCGCCGGGCTAATTCCAAGGGCCGAAGTATCGACCCCCCGAACCGCACCACGAAAGCGTGGACAATTTAGAAACGGTCCTTTTTGGCGCGCCAGCGGACGCCGGCTGTGGCCCAAAGAACAAGTCAGAGCTGAGAGTTGATAACCAAAACAAAATTATATTCTCAATAATGGCAGATCAAAAAAAAATACACAAGTATGCACACTGCCACAATAGTTGCATACAATATGTCACCAATCAAACAACGTACTACACAGTACAATCAGCCACACTCGAAACAACACAGACAACAATACGCACTACAATGCAGTCGCATTCATTGAACAACCAAGACGCTTAAAGACTAAAGAGATAGAAAACCTATTCAGTCCAAAGTTCTTGGAAAAGAAGTCTGGATGATACTCTTCCGAGAATCACCCACCCGAAGTCCAGCGTTGTTGTCGTTCCGCTGTCCCCGAAGTTTCTCTTCCAGGAAACCTCGCCGAAGTTTCTCTTCCAGGAAACCTCGCGTCTTCAACTGGCCACTCTCTAAGCTTCAAACTTCTTCGCCGGAAACACGTCGGCTTCAAACACACAGCTGTTGCCACGCGTCTTCGCTCGATAGCGGTTAACACACACTCTTGCCTGTAGCTCGAGTCGTCACCCCTCAGGTGGAAATCATCTTCTCCTGCTTTGTCTCCACGGACAAAACCTTCGCCGACTACACGGCGGAATGCCCTACGCGCTCTCGCGGTAACTTCCGTCTTCTCCTGATCTCTCGTCCCGGCCTGCTCGATCAAATACCTTCCGCGCGAGATTCAAGAAAGTTCTCATCATTTCGCCGGCGCGATGCGCAGCGAAGGCTGGGGGAAAGGTCGAGACGATACGAGGGCCGTCCGCGACGGATGACTCAACCAGGCATCGCCACGCCCCTTTCCATCGAGAAATTTCGAGTGCTTGCTCGGCCGCCGATGTGGGGTGAGGAGGTTCAGCATACCTACGCTTTCGAGGGGAGAGAGTCGCGCGCCCGGGAAGTCTGGATGTTTGTTTTCTTTTTTTTATCGTTGGCCTCGCAGCGTCTCTCCCGCGCGTTATACCGAAAATTAGGCAGAGCGCCCTTTTTGAGCGCTTGTTCTGTGACACTGCCCCCCACTTTAAGAATATTATCTCATAATATTCAGAACCACACAAACGAGCGCGAACAGTCACCACACACTCTGAAAGACTGTAACGCAAGCCGTCACTCATGACACTTCTTATTCACAATAGATCTCTCAATACAACTGTACATTGCAATTCAATCTCACAACACATAGAATATAGCCACAGGTGCATGAATACAATACTCCATCACATATTCCAAACAATACAAATATACAAAGTTCTCTCATTACAACAATTGCTACAATACTATACATCACATCACAGCACAACACTCCGACACTTGCGACACAGGATAACACAACATTAACACAACATATGGCTCTCAGCACTGCCAAACACATTCTGATTCCACCTCAGCACCTATCCTGTGTACCTCGAGCGGCGATTGCGCCCTTTCTTGCGGTGCTCGCTCAATCTCTTCTTGTGATTCGACGTTCTTTTTCGGCGAGCCCTTTCCAACGACGGTATCTGAGGTGGCGTCTCAGCCATCGCTGTCACTTCCGATACTGCTAACGGGTCATGACGCTCAACCGATCCTGTCCGGTTATTCACCCGCCTGTTCATGTCCGGACATTCGGCCTGGCTGGCCGACTCCGTCATCTTTACATTGTCGGTCAGTTGAGGTCGAGCCGACGTAAGCCCAGCTGCCCAGCACGTGAACTCATTCAACACGATCATCTTCTCATTCACTGTCTCTTGCACCGCGGCTTCACCTTGGGCTCTAATGAGATCCGTCACGGGCTGCTCCTCCACTGTATCTCGCGATCACTGGGTTGGCGAGGGCTCTATCTTAGGGTCTTCTCCCAATCGTTCTGGATCATTCGGCCCTCGCGCCCCGTCGATGTTTCCGATGACGAGGTCGTACAGGGGAGTCG